TTTGCTGGTGTGAATGGGGTATAAGATAGAATTCTTAATCTAGCAGCTTAAACTTCACTAAGTACGTAAGTCCAACAAGCGCACAAGTTGGCTTAAAGTTATGTGATGAAACAGACTTATTAGTTTGGAGACAGCTGTTTATTCAGTTCTACGAGAATTTGTATAAGAAAAAATATACTCATTTCTTTAGATACAACTTTTCTTGATTTTCCTAACTCTCTGGGATTATATCTCTATTTCAACTTCTTTTGGCTACATTTTATGGTACGATGTTTATTCCAAACCTTTCTGGTAAATTCAATCAAACATCAAGACTTTCCTCAATCTGCGAACAACTGGAGTAATTGAACAACGAAAAGAATAATTTAAGTGCAAAATGATCTTTAACTTTGGCAATCAATATATCGTGTAAAACTGACACCTTAAAATCAGTAACCACCAATTGGTGAGAAATACGAGTTATTGCTTGGAATAATTTACTATAAACAGGATCAGGACCATAAACAGCAATTAAAACGCTCTCGATCAATGACCAAATTGCAGGTATTGTTAACATGTAATTTCTTGAATATTTGATGTAAACTTAACTTTCCGGATGTTTTTTGCAAGCGCATGCACTGTTAGTTTAACAAGCTTAAACATGTCTAATTTGATAATTATTGAGCCCCATCAAATATTGTTTTCTTTTCCAGAGAAAACAGTTTGCGAATGTGGGGGTTCAAAATAGTTTATGCCTTACCAGAAATACACGTCAGCTTTTATTTCAGCGTTCTGGAGTAAAATAAATGATTTGTCTGCTCCGAAACTGAGAGGTCCAGGAAGAGCAATACTCTCTTTTTAAGTATTTTGTGTACGGGCGAACATCCTAAGTAAGGGATCCTAGCCTAAAGCACGCTATTCGCTACTTGGAAATGAGGATTTAAATCCTGGATCAAATTACATCTAAACCACAACCTAAATTCGTAGTTTAAAAATAAAGATCTCAATAGGAGAGTGACTTCAGTTTTGACCATAATTCACTTATTCTACTGAGGAAGTAGTAAAACAAAATGAAATGTTTTGTTTGAGGGCGTATGCGATCGAAACAAGTTCGACAAACATGAAAAAAAATTCTAAAATTCAGGAATACAAATATCAAGAAATAATATCGCTGCATTGTTTCATGACTAATCCAACGATAATATACCAAATGAAATAAAGAGATCCTTAACATATCTTGACCAAATCTGACGACCATATTTTCCACCTTGTATACCCAACGATTTCGCCATCGAGTTGAAAAAGAATTTAAACGAAAATAAGAAAAAAAATAATACGGGAAAAGCTTTAGAACGCTCGAGGCGTTAAAAAAAAAAAAGATGTACCATGAATGTTTTTTTTTTCCCAGTAAGTACCATAATTGGAAAAAATTTGCAATCTCCTGTTATAAGAGTGATATACGTTTCTTGCTGAACATAAGAACCCTCATATTCACTTTAAGATTTTGCCGGGTATTTAGAAAAATATATAATTAAATTAAGCAAAAAGGAAGAAAAAACACGATATTTACGCATTTTGTGCTCAGGTTTGGACGAAATTAAGTTATCTCATCATTGAAAACAATGACGAAAATCTCTCACATCACCTGCAAATTGAATCTTGAGTAAAAAGGATTCTTCCGACAGTAGTTTGTGAGGTTGAAATTCGTGCAAAACACCATTTTGCTAAATAGAGTCAGAACTTGATTTGAATATGTCATGATTAATTTTTTCTTCGCACTAAAAGCTAAAAAGTCTGGTGCAAACATAGGACTGTCTAATGTTATATGATGCGCGTGCCCCAGTTGTAAAGAAACATATGAAGGTAAAAGTAGGTTTTATACTGCAACACATTTCGTGTTTGTTAATTTCAGTTCAGAGCATTGAGTTATTTAGAGTGTGTGCAAAAAGAGTCCTTCAGGATACATACGTTTGCTAATTTACTTCAGAATAATACAGGAAAGAGTTGATAAACACAATATCGGACGGTAAGCTCAGGCGAGAACTAATTGAAATTTTCACACGATAAAAAGCCACTGGTTCAATTGGAGACTATCTTTATTATTGTTATCATCGGTCAGATAAAATCCTTTTTTCAATGGGCAGTGTAAACACTTTGGATGGAAAATCGCCTCGGTTGAAACGAAATGAAAAAATACGCGAAAACCGCAGCAATAAAACGCTTCTTTTATATTGTACGATTCGTCTTTAAGAATTTTCTTGTAAAACGATGCACTGTTGATTGTCAACTTTTACTTTTAAATCAGTGGGGTTTTATTAAACTTTTGCTCTTCAATCGAAATGCTCCTTCCAGTCCCACGAAAAAATTATAGAGTTTTAGTTTTCAAATTTAATTTCATACATGGGAACCAACTATAAAATTGCGTATAAATTGCCCGTAACGATCAAAACTATAGTAGATTAGGGAAGTGTTACGAATAATTGTGATGTAAATTCACAGCGATTAGGCAGTGATACTCAAAAAGGCATAATCCAATATTCCATACTGCATTTCCAAAATGCATTTGACTCACGAATGCAACTTTAAGATAAAGTAAAATAAGTAGTTTGTGGATCGAGAAAAAGCTCAAAACCGATGATGAATTTTAGGTTACCACTGTCGAAAGAAAGAGACGAAATAGGAGGAAGTTACTATAAACACCGGAAGGTTTTTGCGGTTACTTGCAATCTAGACCAAAAATTAAGCAGAGAGAAAACGTATTTATGTTTAAAAGAACGACAGCATATGACAAGCATGCGGTCAAACAACATTTAAGGGTGTTATTGACCACGATGAAGCACTTATGTTTTCATGTTAAAGGCAAGTCTCCTGTAAGGATTGTTTGGCGCAACGCGATCATGATTTAAATTGGAGGGAGTATTTGCAAGCTATGATAAAGGCAGGGATGTTTTTGGTTTGAAAAATGACCGAGAGGCATGTACGTGCTTCGAGTTGTAACCGTTTTTCCGTGCTTAATTAGTGTTTACCAAAGATTCTATCTTGATCAATTGCCAATAAAGCTTTAGTCTTATAGATATAGTCTGTAAAACACAAGACCGGATTCTTCTCCATTTAAAGTACGCTCCCAGTGCATTTGAAGTGAGAAAATCGGAGATAACATCTAGAATTTCGAGAAAAATGTACACATTCTGCATATTCAGATGCTGATTAGATTTTTGCGGGAAGTGGTTGTGGTATAAATACATCAGAATTACAAGTGTCGAACCATTTTAACAAGAAGTGTTCCTCTTTTACAACTTTTCAGAATTTTAGAGGCGCGACTTCTTCAGCGATCTCGTTCTCAGGTTGGTATCCTCACCATTACTTATTAAAAGCGATCAGGCAATTTTAAAAGAAAACAAACAAAACTAACATAAAATTCACAATACATTTCTATTCCTACATGACCAAAAATGATCCGCTCAAATTTTATATTTTTGAAACAAACGCATCGCTTGTACTGAACGTAATGAGGAATTTCACATGAATTTCAAAAATATGTCAAAGCAAAGGGTAATCAAGAATGTGATCAAGAAGGTTCTTTGCTGGTTAGATTGACCAAACGAAAGCGAACAAAGCTGCAATACTAAAATTTTGAGATGCAAATAATTTTGAAACGATATGGGTTGGACTTTTTCCCAATCGAAAATTCGAAAGTTAATATGTCATTTAGAAAAATTACAGGAGAAGGGAATTTCCCAAAATGTAGAAGAGCTGTCGTGGTTCTATAATAATTATTTGTACATGTTTTAATATATCGGTGCCTGACTTTTAGTCTCTTTTTTTTAATCTGATATTTGTCACCGCGTTTTGTTACGAACCTTTTAATAGTATTTGGGCTTAAGGAGTGGTGTTCATCGTGTTTTAATTAAGTTTTAAATTATTTTGGATTAAAAATGGCCCAATGCGATGTTATGTCAAAAGTCATCTTAGCGATATTTTTTTTTTCTCTGAAGTAGCTCAGAAGTACTGGGCCAAAAGTCGTCGTAAGGAAATTTGAAACCAGTACCAGTTTGAGAGACTTCAAGAACGGGTAGTTTTCGTATAAATTTAGCACTAACGCACACCATTCATCCGAGTCTTTTTGCTGAAGATATCATCCGCGATTATGTCTCCGCCAGTTAAATCCCATCATTTCATGTGATTGGTTCAAACCTTGTGGGACTCGATAAACTCAATGATACGCTAGTCCACTGAATGCGAGTCGTTACTTTCTTTAAAATAAATCTCCCTCGCAAATCTTTTTTGCAGTACATCATGGATTGTAGTCAATAACACAACCCAAGACGAGTCTGAATTAATTATAAATGTGCATGCCAGGTTTTCAATCTTCATGTTGTGTCAAAGAACTGTTGGTTGGGCAGAAAGAATAATGGAGAAAAAGAGTTTATTTAGTTAAAAAAACAAAAAAACAAAAAAACAAAAAAAAACAAAACAAAACAAAAAAAAAAGGTAAATAAAACGAGTCTTATCTCCTAAAATACCATAACGGGTCTCTTTCATAGCACAATACCTCATATGCGATCCACTATAGGCATTTCTCATGATGCTATGTCCTGAAAGCAATAAAAACATTTTAAAACCACGACATGGGTGCCAATTCGACTGCCATTTGTTTTTTCTTCGCCGAAGAACGCCGCAGTCGTATTAGTCGGCGGTTGACAAATATGTGGAGTAATATGCTCATAAATTCCTGTGGAAGGACGATACATCATCTCACAAGAAATATTTACATTACCATATTTTCTTAAGTATAAGGGTTGGAGCTGCGCTGTTGAATTTCCGCATACGCGGTCATTGATTCTCAGCTCAAATCTACCACTAGATCTGCCTGAAAGTCGCCTCTGATCGTGATTTCGTTACTAATCTTTATTTAGTTAACAAACGATGAGAGTCACGTCAAAATCTCGTAAGAAAAGAACGTCTGAACGTTAGGGGCAAACGGGTTTAACCACAAACTAGTTAAATTCATGCAGCTTGCCGTAAACTATTTCAAATATGCAGACTTCATTTTGTTTCTTATTTACAGCTTGCTTACAACATGGCTGGAAAACTTATGATCCTTTGCTTCTTGTTGGCGGTAGTCACAATTGCAACTTGCAAACCGCGAAATCCTTTTGCAGGTCTTTCTCAGCGAGGTAGGTCTTATTTCAAAAGATCATCATATGCTCGGATTAAAACGGATCAAACTATGATAGTCTTTCTACAATTTCATTGAAGGTTAACCTGCAATGGACTTGCATCCGATGCAGGAGAGTAGCAATATTTCTAGTCGCCTCATGCTACAGAAATCACAACAAGATGCGGGCTTCATTTATCGCCGGGGAGGGAGGGAGGGATTGGACGATTTTTATATGATCCCTCGGTTAGGTTCTGTAGGTCTAATCCCCCTTGTTCCCCATGAAAAACATACGTTCCTCAAAATCCTCGGCCCTACCCCTTCCCCCCTCTCGAGAAAAATAACGAGTGGCCCTCAAGCGCTGGCTGAAAGGGGCACTTTGCTCGAGGACAGACTTCGAAAACTTTTACTGCATTTTACTACAGATATTTTGATGCTCGGAGAGGAAAAGCGCGGTGGTGGTTGTCCAAGGATGAGTTACTGTTCCACCTCCTCTAACTGTCAGGGTTCAGTCACCGATCAAAACGGAGAAGAGGTTGGACTTTTTCTTGTTACCCCTGGAACTTGTGGTTCAGGATTTAATACGGTGTGCTGCACGGAGTTCATGTACTATGGTGGTCTTTAGAGTTCAGGTACTTCATATATAGAGCGAAAGTATCTTTATTTATTTATTTATTCATTTGCGTTATTTAGATAGCCTGGCCCAGTTCAGCTAGTGTAAACGATAACAAGGCCAGACCTCAACATCAGGAATTAGGTTTCCTACTTTTTGAGAGAAGTGCACAGGTTCTTTAACGTCCCTGCTAGCCAGCACACAGGCGATTCAATTGATTTTTCCATTTTTGTCATCTTGCGGCGGTGAGCTGTCTATAGACGGGCTTGAGGCTAAGTTCTTTAAAGTACATTAAAATTCTTACTTTTGTTCTTTTTTTTAATGCACAGGTAGACCAGCCAACACAGCAAGCTGCAAGAAGTCATATTTACATCAAAAATAGCCAGTCTCTCCTTAGGTGTGATTATCAAATCTCTAAAAGTCTCGATTCGTTTTTTTTGTAATTTCATCATGAGAGTATAATAAAGACTGCATTAAACTGGATTCAATTATTGCATTTTGAGATCACTTGAGCAAAACTTTATTTCAACCCCCCCCCCCCCCCATCACCTCGTTTTCTATCTCATAAAACATGTTATCTCACTTAAGCCGTGGAAGTGGTTCATTTATGACTTCTCATTTCAGTACCAAGAGATGGTCCCACCAACAACTTATGAGACTATAAAATTTAATTAGTTTGAGTAGATCGTCGTACCTTCTCTTACTTATCACGAGGGATGCATGGTAGGAAGAGGGACAAATTAAAATCATTAGTTTTCACATGGGGGATCGGATGGTTTTGGTTGCGTCACATTAAAATTTACCTGATCCCCGCCTCACTGG